ATAGAAATGAATGGAGAGTCCCCACAAAGATATGAATACAAACATGTGTGTGTGCGTGTGCATTTTTATATATCTATTATCGTCCTGGCCTTGTTCCCTGTGCTGCCTGGAATAGGCTCCACCCCCGCACCCCCCACCACACCACTACACCCCCACACCCCTGACCATAAATGGATATCCTGTATATGTATAAGCCAGTGACTGGAGCTTTCAGCCCCATGTGTGTTTAGTTGCAGCGCCCTCTGCTGGTGTACCTTAATTCTCAGCTTTGGTATTTTGAACATTTGCTTCCTTACATCATCTAAATGACTCCCCTTTCTGAACATCACAGCTTGTGTACTGCTTTTTCAGCACCCAAGGCAAGAAGATAAGTTTAACTACAATTAATGAGCAATAAAAAATTGACCGGGAAACAGAATTTCTTCTGCGCAAAAAGGAAAATACGCAGCAAATGTCTCCTAATAGGTCTTTACTTAGCAAGGCTGAGCATCAAGAATGCATGACTCATACAAAACGTTTAGGACCCCTTTGTAAATTTTGGCTGGCATCATCAGGAACCCATTACCTTACTATTTCTTCATCCTCAAGGTTAGACGACGGAGAACATCATCTGCATGTTGGTTGCCATGCAACAGACTCGGTAATTAAATGCCAGCTGTTTGTTTTACGTATTTTCTTCAACAGATACATTTCTAAAGTCATCACAACAGAAAAGCATTTCAGTTGTTAACTTCAGACAAAATTTTTATGGAACATTTCAACATGATCTGAAAACCTGTCACCACAAAACACGCTGCTTTATTAAAAACAGCAACCGTGTTGGCTGAGTAAACGCCACCTCCGCTCCCCTGTCATAGAGCAGCAGTCACTGTGGAGGCCGTTATCCCCGCTGACAGGACTCTACGCGTGCCTTTCCACTGAGAGGCGCCATTAAGCACCTGACAGACGTTTGCTCATGCAGCGTGGCACCCATATGCTCACGAAAGGGCAAAAGGCCAGCCCGCTTTTCTCCGTATCAAAATTAACGCTGATAGTTCATTGTAATAACACATCTGACATAAAATCAGGCGAATATAATAACAAGTCAAATGATGTGCAAGACAGTGAAGGACAGGCCTAGAATTAGCAAAATCCATCACTGCTTGCTGCAGTTAATATCAATAATCAGTCATTAAATAAGTACAAATCGGCTCATTTTGGCATGTATAAAAAATGGAACTAGTGTAAATGATAGGATTACCACAAATGCAGGCTTGATTTTAGGATACAAAGAACTATTTTAAAAAGCTGTCCTTTACTCCTTCTCTTTCGTGGAGAGCCTGCCCATGGCTGCAGATGGCTGCAGACCTTTCAAAGGCCTGGGAAGCATATGATGTCATAGAATAATCAGAGTTATTTAGATGATGTAAGGAATAATCATATTATTCTATGACATCATATGAGTTCAATGCTGATAATTCAATACGTCCTGCTTGACGTGGATCATACACATAGTCTTTTTAGTGTTTTAATTGTCTTCTTAATTCATCACAAGATATTGCTTAATTTTTAACATGATTTATAAGGTTGCCTGGGAGTTACAGTATGTTATTTTACTGACAAGATCACCTCTGGCAATAAGCTGGATAAATGATTTAGCATTTATTATATTTTTCGGAATTCATTAATCTTATTGTCAAACGCTAGGATTTCTTGATCAACAGCTTCAAGGAGAACCACAAATGTTTTTTCTATATATATTTGGCTACAGACAACCATCCACCTCCCCAAAGCCCAGTGAAACTAGTCAGGCAGAAAAGGTTTCAAAAATGCTGCTCCCCACCATCCCCAGAGCCCCCTCTTGTCAGGAAGGGAATTTTGAATCTGAAAGCCCAGTTTAGTATCCTGGTGAGGAAGCTCATTTGGATGAGAAGGTGTGGTCAGATTGAGCATTCCTGAGAATTTTAAAACGCAGGAAAACGGAACAGGGACACATTTCTGTGTGTTGTTGTGAAAGGGACGATGACCATGCAGCTGTTTGTCACCGAGCAGTACCGTCATGGGCCTGAATCACATAATGATGCTTGATGCTTTCCTTCATTTAAACATAAAATTACCATAGTTTTTAAAGCACGAAATAAGCGAATACAGGAAACCCTCACAAAGTCCTTCAATCCACAAAAATGGTGGCTTAATTTTTCATTTGTTGCATGATATGCTTCAAAGGTTGCCCAAATGTATCTCTTTTGCCTTTGGGAAAGTCATTTATTATCTGAGTTGGTATTTATTATTCATCTTGCCGACACGCGGCACCAGAAAAATGAGCAGTAATGAAGAGGAATAATGCAGCACTGAAACGTGTTTATCGGTTTCGGTAAAATGCAATCTCCTGGTCCGCATCTCGCAAAGCTATCGATATGGTATTATCAGATGTGCTTTTTATATATGCATCACAATATCCACACAAGTGATGTTTAATAATGATTGTTTATTACCCACGTTTTGTTACAAAAAGTCATATTTCAGTTCCTAAGTCATACATGGAATATAAACACTGTAACGTCTATTAGCAGTTTACATGAGGCCTACACCATGAGAGAGGGTAGGGCCTTTAAAAGCCTGCACATCACCGCAGTGTGATAATCTCCTCATGCTGAGAGGAGCCTGCTCCACACCGCCATTACGAATCCATTCATTTTACTTCATAAGTGAAGTGTTTTTTAACACGTATAAGTGTTTTTTTTTTTTATGAGTAAACAGCACATCAGCAGAAGTTTGCAAACATAACTAAACACACAGTACAATCTCAATATATGTTCTTCCTCCTCAAAATACAAGGCTACTTATGAGATACCTTTAAAAATACAAATTCTATTAATGTTCTTAGGGTTCAGCTACTGAGTAAACGTCACTGAATATGAACGATACTTCACAAATGTGTTTATTCCTATCCGTCGGCAGTCTACATCACTGCTACAGTAAACAGCTTCTTTTTATTGCAAGTCTATGCAATATATGGGATGACAATAAAAGGCTATGTTTTGCTTGTGAATCATAAAGATTCAAATCTAAAAATAATTACAAAAATACTGTCATTTCATTAATCAGGAGATGCTTGCGAGTGAAGAAACCAAACCATTCTTGTTTTGATTAATACAGAGTATCATTCAGCTCGCTTAATCTAGTAATGACATAACCCGTCTTTAATCTAAAGCTAACAGCCAGGTCTATAATGACTCAGAGTATTCATGTGTATATAGGTAATATATATTTAACACTACGTGTATCATTAGTCATTTTCCTCTTGCCCTTTATTTTATTCTGTCCCTTTGCAAACATGATACTATTAAGGGTGTTAATGTGTATCATTTGACCTCTATACCCTAACAGGAGAACCTGATACCCAGTATAACGGCATCAGACAACTGAGCCCACAAAACCACAGCAATTTTTAAAAAAAATACGAAAAAGCACACAAGCATGACAGACAAAGCTAAATAAAGTTAAATAAAAATAGGTTCATTTTTGCAATGTAAAGTGTGTTCTCCATGTCCCTTGCACAGAGCAGATATGAGAAACCACACTATATTAATGCCTAGATCACCAGGAGTTGATCCAGAATAGATTATATTAAATTTGGATATCGGTGAGGTTTGAACAATAACTTAGAAACATCTTGTCTAATGAGGATTCATCACCATGGTTACTAGGTTTTTTTTGTGTATGCTTGGTAATGCATTTGGCTTCTCAGTTCCAGTTCCAAATTTTGGGAAGTCAGTTTTTGTAGAATAAATGCGTGCCTGTCTAACAATCAGAAAGCTTCACTGTTTTCTGTCTCCTGTATTTCATGCTTAAGACAGCTGCGCCGTGGATTGGATTGTCAGTTTCAAAGGTGTGACACAGTCCCGGCTTTGAATCTCATACAAACAAACATAGTTTATACAAAACACAATAAAGAAGGAATTTTAGCAGCAGAATATTTCATGGGCCTGAATACGCAGCCCTGAATCACCACATGAGTGACTCGCAAAGCATAAAATATGTAAATTCACACATCATTAATTAAACAAAATAAAACATTTGAAAGATTGTCTTTACAGCAGTCCAAGCTGTCTTTGAAAGACACAAGATCATGTTATCGGATCACCTGAAATAAATGTTGCACTTCAAATTTTAAAACATTCTGGTAAGTTAATTAAAATGTGATTTAGTTATTTACTGTGTTCCGTACTCCCTCTAATCATACAGATATTTCAGCATTTGTTTAGTGCATTTCAGTGAAACATTTTATCTGTTAGTGTTAAAACATATTCAGACTGAAGTTGATGTGTGTGTGTGTGTGTGTGTGTGTGTGCGTGTGTGTGAGGGTGGGTGGGTGGATGTGTGTGTGTGTGTGTGTGTGTGTGTGGCCGTGTGGTCATGTACATATTACATTGTTTGGGAACAAATGTCTCCAAAGTATGATAGCAACCTGTTATTTTGACATTGTGGGGCTAATTTTTTCAACCCCCACAAAATGAAAACTCAGTTTTATAATCAATCAAAAAACTAAAAGTGCCAAAAGTCTTGTATTCTGTTTGGTTGGTTATGGTTAAGGTTGTCATGCTGGGATTAGAGTTCTGCCCACAGAAATGAATGGAGAGTCCCCACATTAATATAAATACCTAATCTGTGTGTCTGTGTGTGATGGTGAGTCACAATTTATGAAGGGAACTTTCAAATCGACAAAATATCACATAACGAGGCAAAATAAGTGTACCTACATGTATACTTAAAGTCTTTGGACACGTACCTCTGAAAATGCACTTTTAACAAGGGCACCATCTCCAGGCCAGCCAGTAGGGGCTCTGGGTCCCATGAAAACACATGTGGCTCCAGTAAAACGAACATTAATGAAGAGTAACAGCACAGCATTTTAGGAACTTTAGGTTAATTTGGCTGCAATCCGATTATATAACAAACTTTTGGCCCTTGGAATCGTCCTCACTCCCCCCCCCCCCCCCCCCCTCCTCCCCCCCCCCCCCCCCCCCACACTTATTCCTATTTGAACTTCTGTTATTCAAACACAGATAACAGAACCAATGCTACCTTCTTCACTAGTTAAATTCAAACGTCAAAAGGATCCCCCTTGTCTTTGAACCAATTCCAATTAAAACTTTAAAAAGATGTAAAGGATTAAATCAGTTCAAAAAAAGCAGCTAAATTTATTAGCGAAGTAGGAAAATGTTTGAAGCAGCCATGTCCTTCCTCCAGTCCTCAGCAGGAGGCCCACAATTCGCAGGCTCGCGCGGGACTCAGAAGGTGCAGGCGTAGACCACACCGACGACCACGATGTTCCCGATGGTGGCCACGATGGCGATCCACAGCCAGATGGCGTCCCTGGACATGGGCTGCGGCTCCTCCTGCTGGCTGTTGGCCGCGATGGCGGCGGCGTGCACGCTGGCCGAGGAGTTGAACAGCGAGTGGTCTGTGCTGTAGTCATCGTTAGCCGAGTCCATGAAGGCACCCGTCATTACAGGGATCTGCAGGCAAGGACAGGAGGTTTATTTAGGGATGATGTCCTCTATGAAAAAAACGTTAGCGGAAATCACACTCAAAAGGTAACAGTGACTAACAGTCATTCTAGACCACAGCCACTGCCACTATGAAAGTATGAAATACTGGAAATTTAAATTATGACAGCAATACTGCACATGCAGCGCGGTCTTGCTTAAATTTAATTGTTGCAGTGCAGGTAGAAATTCAAGTGCATGAATCAGTGACTGACTTTAGATGTCCCTTCACTTAAGCCACAATTTTCAGTTCCCACCTGGATTGTCTGCCAGCCATAAAAACTTTTTCAGTCAAAGTTCTCTGTGTGCCAATCTGTTTATGCCAGACGTATAAAAAACTTTATAAATTAACTGTATAAAAGACTTTTGTTTTCCATATTTCTCATCTAGAAGCTGTAAACATTACTTAGAGGACACCATTAAGTCCCACTTGTGTAATATAACATTTTTTGTTCATTATTACTTTACACACACACACACTCTATATATATATATATATATATATATATATATATATATATATATATATATTCAATAACAATGAAAATTCCACTAATTATTTCTTCTCTGTTTGACTTAAAAAGTCAATATGAAATTCATTCTCAAAATGTATAAATGATCAGCTCACAATACATACTGTACATCAAAATGCCATTTTGCATGATATATTCAACAGACATAAAAAGCTAATTAGAAAATAAAATGATAAATTCAGCTCATGGTTATAAGCCCTGCTGCTTGATGGCAGTCATACCTTTGACAAGGCGAGCAGACAAAGGATGGTACAGTATGTGATGGTTCAGCGATAACATAGCGCCAAATGAACTCATTTCATTTGATTTTACTGAGCATCAAGCAAGCTTTTCTACATGTTAATGTGATGTGATTATAAAAGAATATGCATTGCACTGTTAAACCCCAAAAACGTTTTCATTACCTTTGTTCGGTGCAATCTGGGAATAGTCCTGACGACTATTCTTAATTATCTTTGGACTGGAATCTTCTACAGGGATTTGTACTTGGCTGTTAGGTTTATGATGCTGATTGTCACCATCCGGAAATCATAACCTATACCCACGCCTGATGTTAGTCCAGAGCTTTATCACCCCCAGCTTGGACTGATTAATAGTGCAGAGGAACTGCAAAACCTTTCCTCCCAAAAGCTAGAAAATACGCTTCTCAGTTGCAGGTATCTGCTCAGAGGCTGGACGGCAGACCTGCCCTGGATCAGCAGCAACACATGAACATCTCTTTGACTTGCATCTGGCTTTTCTCCTTCTCAAACTTCAGGTCTGCATTGGGTTTGCAGCATCGTCTGTTATATGGCTACCTACACTGTGAGACACTGATACATATTGCCAACTGCATTTTGCAGTGCAGTGTTTTTTCTTGGATTGGCATGTACTGAGACACAGTATATCTCTGTCTGTGGCGATACGGCTCAGGAATGCTCTGTTTTCAACCATATAGCATATACACCCAGCCACACAAACATAGACAGGCATGCGCACGCACGAGCACGCCGACACACACACACGTTTGTATTCATATAACTATTTTGTCTATTTTAGTTTTTTGCTTGCAGTCACATGTTTTATAACATTGAGTTTCCGTTTGTGGGGAACAGAAAAATGTCCCCACAATGTAATATATACATGACCCACACACACACCTATTAATACTTTTGTGGGGACTCTCCATTAATATCTATGGGAAAAACCCTAATCCCAACAATGACCTTAACCCCTACCCAGCCCTAACCTTAACCATTTGGTCCCCACAATGTAATATAAACATACATACACACACACACACACACACACACACAGGCACTGGCTGGCATTAAGAATAACTCACAGTATTCCCACTTAATCATCATAACTGTTGGTAAAATAAAAAATATAAATCAAACTGTGGCCTCCACTTCAGCTAGTCTTACTGCTTAGTTTTATTGCCTTGTATTACGCCCCCCAGCTATAAAAATAAAAGGAAATTCTGGAACAATGAAGGAGTGGAGAATTTCTGATTTACCCCATTGATTCACACCCACGCAGGACAGCTCTCTCACAGTGAGGCGTGTGAGTGCCCCAGTACAGAGAAACACAATGCAGCTTTTGTGTGTGCTCATGCACATTTTAGGAACTTTAGATTCATTTGGCTGCAATTGGCCATTAAATCACAGGCGCCTGGGTAGTCAGAATATCAGATACTCTGGCTTTTAGTAACCAACAATTGTTCCCTGAAATTACTTCTGTGAACAAAGCAAATGGTTTCCTTAAAGTGCTCCCAGAATGAGAATCTATCAGTTTGCTACTAAACAAAAAATTAGCCTTCAGAATATGGCAGCAGTAACTGCAGAATTGGAATGTAAATCCAAAGGCTCAATACAATCGATTCCCTGTCCATCCAAATGACATGCTTTACAGTAGAGAGCATGGCTCTTTGTACTCTTTGCCAAACCCCTGGATGTTCTGCACAGACACCCATACAACAGCAGCCATCGCCGAGGCCCGGATAACAGATCCCGCCTCCGTGCAAACTGCAATCCACGACTTGAGTGGGCTTTTCAAGATACGGCGCTGGCCGAATCTCTCTGCCGACAATTTGGCATTGCTTTCAAGCTTCCGGGGGAAATCTGGTGCTGTTATAATTGCAATTTGTTTCAGCGGACAGGAATTCTCTCTTCAATTTTCTCATAGCGTGTCCTCAGCACCCAGCGCTACAGTAGAAATGCTACAGTAACAAGCGTGCAATCTGCCCTGAGTCGGAGACAAATTCCAGGACATCACGATTAAGTGTCTTTCCAGGAAAGCGTACGTGGGTTTGAGAGATGAAAACTGTTTTTTAATGCATTCTGGTAGTTACTGTTGTTCTGTAGATACACAGCGCAGCTGCCATAGAGATGAAGGATCCATATTGTTTGCAGTCGGATAAGGAGGCGGATTTCAGCTTATGTTTCTCCCGCCCACGTTACTGCGGAACACACTGGGGAGGCGAGCACACGCATACACCCAACGGGCATGCAGACGTCGAACAGACACCCACGCCTCAATGGAGCAAGCAGCTGAGCACCACTGAGGGCACTTTGCATGTAATGGTGTGAAACGCGTCCCTTTGAGGTTTCACGTCTGACGTTGGTGCACGGCAGTGCATTCGAGGGCAAAGTCATGACAGGGTTTGGCTAAATGAATGCCTGCAAAGCGAAGCGTTTATGGGTTTGACTTATAAAGAGGCAGAAGTTTCTCAGCTGAAAGTGGTGGCATTACAGTGAAACGGCATGCGTCCACGCTGACTCCCTCCATCGTTCTGGAAACGATTGCCTCTTCCAATGTCTTACAGAGAGCAATCGGCCTTATGCGCTATTCCTGTCATTGTAATCCTCTGAAAAGATGCCAACAGCCTCGTCCAGACAAGGGATGCACAGGCTGCTACAATGAATAGATATTCACTATGCACCCTGCTCAAAGGTTTTACATGTCCTTAGATAAATTCGAACATAAACAAAAGCGTGTTCTAGATGGACAGTGCCAACGTGAGGACTCTGGAACCCTCCTGACTGACTGCGGTAGGGTTAGGGTTCCGTATGTCTAATCTTGTTCCTGGGCTGGACACTAATTTAAAGCTGCTTTCTACAAGCCAAACACTCCTATATATATATACACATCATCCCCGAGAGAAGCGTTGACACACAGATGACAAGCTGGGGACTTGTCAGGGGAGGGTCTCGAGAGACCCTTCCCTAAAAGTTACTATTACCATGGCTCAAATTCTTGAACTTTGTGTTCTGACAAGGGATAAAAGTGTCACATTAAGCATGAAGTACTGGGTAAAACTTTCAGAGACTTGTCAAAGTTAGTGTGTTGTAAAATGTATTTCGCTATTTAATATGCAACAGCCGCTTACCGTATCTTTCCAGAACACAGGTAAATGGTTTCATAGCGAATTAATTAATCTTCTGTACTGAACCTACCACAAACTCAGAGTCTGGTTTAACAGAATTAAACAAACTTTTATCGCCACACAAACGAGCTGATGGAAACTTTTTGGTACAATTCTGTTATATGTTGAAACATAAGATAATGTCAATGGCATTTAAAGTTTCATGTAACATAAGCACACTTACATTTAGAGAGAAATAAAATAGGGATAGAAGAGTTTAATAACAATTAATAAAAGGTATGCCTAACCCTGCATTTCAAAGCAGAGTTTTTCCAGTTACCTATTTATTTATCAGTGTATGTGTCTGCATCATGTTCCCAAGCCTGTTCTCACCGGTCATCCTTCTTATGGCTTTATACTGTAATCATGTGACTCACCCTGAACCCAGAGATCTTACTGGCTGTTGCCAAAGGCAGTGCTTAGCAACAAATGGTGTTTTCTCTTGACAGCTGCATGGAAACTGATAATGAGTGCGGCATAGTCAGGACCAGCCCCCTCCTACACAGACCGTGCAGGCTGTCAGGACCAGCCCCCTCCTACACAGACCGTGCAGGCTGTCAGGACCAGCCCCCTCCTACACAGACCGTGCAGGCTGTCAGAGCCTAGAAGTGCGGCTCTTTGCTGTGGCTTCTTGCTGTAATTCTGTCTTTGTTTGACCTTTAAAGAATTTTTACATCAGAGCAAAAGTAGGAATAAAGACAAGCTAAAAGTTGTTTCAGAAGTAAAACTCTAAACCAATGTTACTTTGTTGCAATATTCCTAATGTACGAATGTTTTAATCTAGTCAGTTATACTGGTACTATTATTTACTTTTCCCAGTAAAAAGAATTTATTGTTCTGTGATGTCAATTTTAAAGTTTTGTACAGAAGTTTTTATCTTGCCTCGAAAAATGTCATTCTTTTAATATGTACTTTATACAGCTAAACTTTTAAAATAAAAAGTAATCTGAAAAAGAGGTAAAAATTAGGCTGCAATTTTTAACACTTGTTAAATATGCATATAATTCACCAGAACTATAATTAGTGTTACT